TGTGTCAGCTGCAAGGGCAGGAGCGACAGGGGTGTAGCCAGCTGCAGCAAAGCCCTAGACGCGGAGGGGACTCAAGAAAGTGGCTGATTCATAAAAACCACCACTTCTTTGGCCACTGTCCTGTAAAGAGTCTCCAGCCTTCCTTTTTCAACCACAGCTCTGACATCCACCCTCTCCGTGCCCCGCACACTCCGCCTTCCAGCCAGTGTGTGCAAACAGCACTGCGTGGGAAAGTGTTCAGACACAGGAGATGGGGGTACAAATTCAGGAGATGCATTCTTTTCCGTTCTTGAAAATGCCCAGTGTTATTTGCATACTAAAAGCCCTGACAAGTCTCGCATTGAAGAAACCAATGTAATTTTATCTAAAATAGCACGTTCCAAACAATTTGACTATGGATCTCTTCACATGGTGATTAAGAACACAGGTATTTGGATTCACAAAGCCCTAGATTCCAGGACCAACTGCTACTTTAGAAGCTACATCGTTACTTACCCCCTCTCCACCTTGGTTTGCACATCTGTGCAATAGGTTAAGTAACATCTACCCTTGCAAGGTTACCGTGAAGATTTAGTTAGATAATTATGAAAGTATCTGACATATGGTAGGTGCTCAGTAAACAGCAGTCAGCTGTGCTATAGATGTAGACATTAAATCAGCAACAATATATATCACTTGATATACATGTAGCTCATACTTTGTTTGCCTGGGCCATACTTGAGCAATCAAGACTTGAGCATCATTTCTAAGAGCATTTTAATCCCAGCCCCCAATCTCCAGTACTGTTACAGGGACTCTTATGCCCCACTACCCCGTCAAGTAAGCTGAAATTCTAGTCCTGGCTGGGTGACTCAGTTGGAGTATTATCCTGTACACCAAAAGGTTGCAGGTTCGATTCCTGGTCAGGGTACACATCTGGGTTTGGAGTTCAATTCCGTCGAGGCATGTACAGGACCCAACCAATTGCTTGTCTCTCTCACACACTGATGTTTCTCTCTCTCCCTTCCTCTCTGTTCTCCTCTCCCTCTTCAGGAGCAGTAGACATGAAAATTTTATCTAGGCCCATGTGAAGAATATCCCAACCTCCACTGCAGCTAGTCCATATGACTAGGTTCTGAGCCAAAGGAACATAATTTGTGACACTCCTCAAAAGTTGTACTGAAAGCTGGGAGCAGGCCCTTTTCCTTCCACGTCTTCCTGCCTGCTAGCTGGAAAGCATACATGCTAAATGGAACCAGAATAACTTTCTTGTACCACTGGTGGAAGCCATTTACTGGAAACGACCAAGGAGCAGGCAAGAGGAAGATTGAGTCCTTGAGCATAGTGGAACCTCCAAATTAGACTTGACAACCACATTTACATGAGGGAGAAATGAGCTTCTATCTTCAAGTCACCATTATTTTGGATTTCTGTCACTTGTAGTCAATTCTCACCCCAGGTAACCTTACCGAATATACAAGTTCATGAAGGTTTTCTTTGTAGGTTATTAAATTCTGTAAACATGGATATAATATGGATATAAAATATGGTATTTATTGTATTATTCAAATCCTCTAAATACATGTTTATTTTTGCTCTTGATGTGCAAATTCAGAAACAAGTTTATTCAAGATTGACACAATGACAATGGCTTCAACAATGTCATATTTCTGGGAGACTTTGCTATATGTAAACTTCTATGTTTATTATATAACAACTATTGTGTATTTTGGTAGACTACTGTACAAAATTGTTTAAAAACATTACTTTGTCCTGTTTTAAACTTTGGGTCTTGATTTTACTTTTCTAGTATTTTATTTTGTTTTGTTTTTTCCTTCTATGCCTTTCCCCCATTCCTTTACTTTCCTTCTTCCTTATATACTTCAATTAGGTATTGCAGGATTAACCTCAGAGAGTCCTGAAGGCTAATTCTTTCAAGGGATGCTAGGCCTGCCTGGGAAATTGCTTCATCCATCCTCATGGTAAGTGTTAGAATTAGAAATACCTTGGGATTTCTATGCCGCTGGTGAGTGGCACTTGACTTGTTGTGCTAAACCATTTCTCTAGGTCATCAATTTAATTTTCAACTATCTTTTCTAATTTATCACACTTTCAATGGCATCCTTCTGATCCTCAACTTGTTTCTTAGGCCCAAATCTCTTTTTAAATCTCATTCAACTGTTTTATCATTTCATTGTTGAAGTTCATAATGAACTTCATGACCTTAATAAGCTACACTACAGTATGAAGCACTTGAGGAAAATCTGTTCCTTAGGATATAGTGTCTATACTCCAAGTTATCAAGCATCCTAACCCTAAACATTTCAAAATTGATTATGATTGATAGAATAATTCAGACAAGCTATCTGAAGAAATTAAACATTTATTGAGATGTTCGTTTAGTAACAGCAACACATTTCTCAAGAAAAAGATAAGTTGAACTCCCCCAAAACAAAACAAAGCAACTTTCCTTTATTCTCAGGTGACAGTCAAATCTATAATCTTATATTCCCCTTTAATAAATGTCAAGATATATAAAATACTTGGAGGAAGACATCCAAATTATCCTAAAACCATAATATTCTAAGGTAAAACGCAGTGTAAAGGTAATAATCTCTGCGTATCACAGTACACCAGATGCCTTCTGCAGCTTTACAACCATTCTACTCAAATTACAAATATATGTATGCAAAATGCTTGTAAAAAATGGAAACATCTGCAACCTTTCCCAGTTTTTGATTTCAGGAACAGGTGCGAACCATCTCCCCTTCATAGATCTTCTGTTATCGCACCCATCAAAACCAACTGGTCTGGCTCTCAAATAATGAGCACACAGCACGTGTGTTCTGCTAAATCCGGAATTAATGACATACTCTACAGCTATCTACAAGCCCTCAATTATTTTTGCACAACATTCCAATGTTCCCTGAAGAGATCTTATACAAAGGTTGAAAATAGCTATTTTCCATCATAGTCAAAGTCAATTTACTTTATACGCAACACACACTGTTGCATTGTATTCAATTTTTATAAGGAGTTGCTATGGTCTTGTGTGTGTGAATATGCTCACATACTCAGGCTGTGCATACGCTACACAGTCAAAGGCTCCACATCAGTTAAGCTTGACATCAAAATGTCTGACGAAGACCCTCCAAACAGCACTCACAGTATTAGTATTGGAGTTCTTTTCCTTCCTGTTTTTTCAAAGGCTCTCTGTTTGAAAACTGAGTTTATAGATAATTCTAAAGAAATACATCCCATTAGACACTTGGAATTATTGATAGATGAGGTGACAATACATATTTCCCATTTAAAAGTAAGTTTGACACTGGTTTGTAATCAACTCTAAATGGCCTACCCCAAGATGCTATTCCACGTTCTCAATATTCTGCATTGCTAGATAGTCGGCTTTAACAGCATATTCATTTTTCATTTTAAAAAAGAACATTCTTTTTTAGACTTTTAGACTTAAGTTTATCTAACTTTATAACTTAGTTTTAAAAATCTAGTTTCATGTTCAATGAATTAAGAAACAACAGATGTAAGAAGAGTTCGGCCAGAATTTAACAGGCAAAAAAGGGTTGCTTTGGCTGTGTGTAAAGAGACAGCTGTTACAGGACAAATCATTGTTTAGCCTACTTTCATTAAATATTAAAAGGCAACTGTTGTTTTAACACACTTGAAATTACATTTAATAAATAGGTAACTGACCCCACACCTGACACATTGCTCCCCTACTTTTCTTCTTCATTTACTCTAAGGAACCAGAAGTTATTTTTTTTAAAAAAACTAAAACAGATCAGTGGTCTTTCTAAAAACACCTCAAAGAGGTTCTGACTATTATTAAGGAATTTACTACTTAAAATATAAACTTCTGAAAGAGACGCTGAATTCTATCTTTTAAGGTTTTTCCCTTTCATGTATGTCTGCTCTCTCCTGTTCTCCTGAATGCACTCAGAGCGCTTCAATGGAAAGGATGCCTATTGAGTCGACAGATGTGACTGACTGTTGAAGCTGCCGTTCAAGGCAGGGCGGTGGTTCCCAAACCTGACCTCCTATCGTGAGTGTCATCTTGGGAAAAGGATGCCAGTTCCCGGCCCCTTCAGGCCTAACGACGCCATCCCCTCCACCCTAACCTCTCCTGTGATTCTATGTGGTGAGTCTTTCATAATCCAACATTTGGGATGACTAAAACGACAGTTTTGAGGGAAGATACTTGTCGCTGTGTTTCCGTGGGTCCTACCTCATAAACTGGGGTCCAGTAATAAAAAATAAAAATACAAAAAACAGTGTTGAATCATGAGCACTAAATACATAAGGTGATGGGGGCATAACTCCAGAACCAACAACCCAAACAAAGGGGGCCTGGGCCTTGCTGCCCCTTCCCTGAAGGCCAGCCCCCTTCCAGCCCCTGCAGGGCCCCCCTGCAGGGCCTCCCTGCACGGAGCCAGAGGAAGGCGAGCAGACAGCGCGCGGGCGCGGCCCACAACCCAGTAAGCGACTGTTCCCACACCATTTCTCCCATCGCTGCACCTCCGTCTTCCCACTCTCATTCCATCCTTTCCTACTCTGCCCTTTTCCATTCTCTCTTACTCCCTTCTCTTTCCTCACTTCCTCTCCTTCTTTCTTTTAATCATTCACTTGTATCATTCTTTTCTCTGCTTTCTCTTCCTTAAAAACTCTCCCTCACCTAATATAAGCAAATTAATACTGGAGATACAATACCTGTCAGAAAACATAGGCCTAGGGAGACAGGACGATCTGCACAGGAGGAACAGCACTTCCATGTGACACAGCCATGCGGAGTGTCTCAACTCCATCACCTCTGAGTCTCACAGCTTCCTAATTCGTGACTGCTTGGTCTCACGCAGTTAGAAGGGCATGCTGATTACTTACAAACCCAAGGCACTGAGGGAGTGAATTGATATGCCTGGGGTCCCTTAACCAGGAAAAGAATCCAGACCTAGTTCACAGTCTGATTTTCTTTCCATTACACCAGTAACATCAGACTGGAGGCAATAAGAGAGAGCAACAGTAAGCACTGATACCACTTCAGGTTCCAAAGATAACTGGGTTACCTAATACATTCCGAACTATTCTTCACAAGGGGGACATGTAAATCACAATATACAGGGTGCCCCCAAAATGTACACATACTTTGAATATAATTATACAGGCAGTGTTTATTAAAGTACTTTTCATTTTGGGGGACACCCTGTATATTTCTAGAAGTTTTCCATGTTCTTTGAAGATGCCTACTTCATACAAATGAAGTGTGAATACATTTTCGCCATTTCACTTTGGTAATACTGTAAGCCCAGAGATAGTTCTGAGGTCAGAATTGTTCTAACATATAGACTCAAAAAATATACAATGTAATTTATATAAACTGCATAGATATACTGTTTTATAAAAAGAAATATATTCTCTACATTGTTCTATAATTTAACTTCATTAATGCTGAGCTGCATTTCTTAAGAATTCTCAAGAACAAAGTTACTGTATCTAAAGATAAATTCAGAAAACTCGTTTTAATATTTTTAGGGACTTCCTGTGATACCCTAAATTTTAGGTAAAAATAGTCCCTAAGTGAAAACACCATAACCCAATTTATGGTAAAATGCCCAATTAGGCCAGATCTGAATAAACCAGATGAAGAATCTTCCAACTGATTGACAATGTAGTGTGTGTGACAGTGTAAATAAGCCACAACATGTGTGAGACCACTGTATACAGTCCAGCTGGATTAAACTGTGACCACCCTCTAGTCCCAATCACTCATATCAGAGCCCATGGGGCTGAGATTCCCTTTTCACTGAGGAAATTAAACCTAAGGAACGTGCTTATAATATAAATTCATATCTTGTCAATAACCCCAAGTACTTCCTCTAACATTTCAGAACCACAATTATAATCCACTAACTGTGCCAAGAATTGTGATATCCTAGTTTTAACCATCAAGTTGGCAAAATGATTTCCAGTGGTTCCCAAACTAGCTGACATCAACATCACCTGAGGTGCTTATTAAAAACAAAATCATAATGTGACTTACTTTTGCACCCTGATCCTAACACTGGAGACAATCAGGGGAATTCGCTTAAGGACTGGAGATGCATTTAATATGGAGAAGGCATGATGTCACTGCAGTTACCAAACTGTTCACGGTGTTGAAATAACATGCTGTCTGGGATTTTCTTTAAGATACTTTAGCAAAGAAAAAAGGGATAGATGATGCAAATATGGTAAGATACTGGTAAGTGCTTGATCTGGACAATCAGCACCATTGCATTCTTCTCTCTACTTTGGTGTAATTCTTAAATCTCTTCATTAAAAAAAATGTTTGCAGACACCATCCTAAACACAGTGGACAAGAAAGATAAAGCCTTGGAATCCAATCTCAACAAGCTCTCCTGGAGAGTCTAATACAGCCAGGTAGGGAATGGTCTTATTTGGGGACTATTAAACACAACCTTCTATATACCCTCCAAACTTATAGACAGCACTGAGGAACACTGAGAGAAGTAATAGTTTTCGCAATTTCAACATTAAAAAAAATAACTGTCTTAACTGATGTTCAAAAAAGGGAAGCTATTCACATTGACCCAATCAAAACTACTTTTCTGTAGTCAGAAGTAATGGTTTTCTTAATCTCAATCATCCACGACAGTTGTTTAGGGTAAGGCTCTGTGTACTGGCTTCTTCAAAAAGGTCTTGCAAAACTGTTTTGAGGTAGAAGAAAATAAGTTAAATGACCACTTTTTCCTGCTCCACTGTAACTAAAATGACTGTTCAAGGGAAGTATACAGCTTGTGCATTTTGGTCCATCACATTTTCCACCATCATATAGGTATACTATTTAGGTTTTCATTTTATTATCATCTCTCTTTTTGCTTCCAGAATGTCCAGTAAAGCTGAAGATTTTCATTTGAAGTGATAAAAAAAAATTTTCCTAAAATATCTGTTTAACGATCTTAGATCAGGGTTTGGCAAGACAGTTTAACATATACAAATGAAAATACTACATTTCACAAGCAGACACACACACTAGAACTCCATAATTTTCAGTTTGCCCTCTTTCTTACACAGCTCAATTTTAAACGTGCAGTTTACTTGTAATCTAAAAATAACTTGAAACATGATTGTCACCAAAAGATTTTAAAACAGAGATGAAATCTATAAAGGCACACACAGATTGTCAATGGTTACATCACATTTCTTTAGAAACAGAATCTTCTCTGCTCCTGTAAACGTTTTTCTCACACATTTAAAGTGAGGTTAGTGCTGACATAAAATTATTGCTATGCTCACAGTCTGAGTGTCCTGCTGTGCGTGAGGTACATCTTCTCTGCCCACACCCCCACTGTTCTTACTCACTTGAGGATAAGAGCCAACCAAAGTCGGTACACAGAGGCTACAACAATTCAGTATCTTCATCAATACTGGGACGGCAGCAACCACGACAAAACATCAGAGATGAAAAATGTCTTCTTTTTGGAGTCCAAGGTTTTAACTTATTCTTCATTAAATGAATATACTGCTCATTTAACTTCTTTAGGAATAAAAATTACTCTGAAAACGAGTAATCCCTTCCTCACACTTCACCCACGGCTCCTCCTTCACGTTCTGGATCTGTGGGCTTAACTTGTCTGACTTAGTGGTCTCTGAGCATCACCTTTCCTTTGGTGGGCTATCACAGCGGTCTTGTATGCTTTTGGTCAGCCGTTTGATAAATATTTTGTAAATTTTCCCGCAGTATGTATGCATTGTCTTTTGCAATTCCAGTTCTAAAGGTTTTAATAAGGAACGGATGTGGTCATCTTCAAAAGAACACTAGAGGAAGAAAAGACAAAGACAAATATATATATGTGTGTGTGTGTATGTGCGTGCGTGTGTGCAATTAATTCCAAATAACTTCTTCAATCAATTTAATAGTGACAACCTCCATAAAAGTCTCACAAAAAGCACCCTGGCCAGTGTGGCTCAGTTGGCTGAGCACTGTCCCGCAGTACACTGAAAGGTCACCAGTTCAATTCCCGATCAGGGCACATGCCCAGGTTGCAGGCTTGGTCCCCGGTTGGGGTGTGTACAGGAGGCAACCGATGGATGTTACACTCTCTCTCTCACCCTCTCCTCTCTCTTCCTCCCTAAGGTCAATAAAAACATATTTTAAAATAAAGTCACAAAGAGCATATGCTCAACAAATATTTTCAATGAATTAAATAGAACTATGTATGAGCTCACATTCTAGAGGCGGGAGAAAGCAATGGTAAATCACTGGGGTACCAGGGAAAGCTTTCCACAGAAAGAGTAATGGAGGCGGGCATTTCAAGCCAAGGTAGGAATTCTTACATGTTCAAGGGCAGAGAACACCCAAAGACATTGACTGCTGTGAGATGGCAACCAAAAGCTCTGAGAGAAACTAATAAAAATCCCAAATCACTCTGATAATAGTGTTGAGGCTGAACTGGAAAGGAATGAGACAGAGGCATGCAGCGGCAGGAGTGCAAAATGACATCACAGTTCTGCATTTCCCAAAGAACCCTAACTGCACAAAAGGATCCCAAAAATAAGTACACTTGAGAACTGCTAAACATCACACACTCTCAGTGGGGATTCACCCAGGCACAGGAAAAACTCTAACAAAACAAAATACATCTGTTGAATGTTGTTTGGTCCACTAGTTCCAAAATATATTTTTCACCAGAGTCCTTTGTTACTGTAAAATAACATATATCCCAAGGAATATGTTTTGGAAAACATTATAGTGGTTAAGTGGTGAAGTTGTGATCCTAGTATGCCAATCAGGTATATTTTTTGATTTAGCATTTAATAGGAATATTTTCAATTAGAAAGCTGGATAGGGCTTTAAATCAGAACTCTTTACATGAAAGCTGAAGTCAGTGAAAAATGCAAGATCCCAAAGGAAATTCAGAACCTGAAATCTCAGAGGGCTGCAAATGCCGAGGTTCACAACCATGACACTAAGGGAGAGGAAATGAAAGAGCTACTCAGATCACATTATTGAGTCTGTAGGAAGCCAAAGCCAATCTAGGGAGTCAAGGATAAACTTATGCTAATTTATTACATGGATTTTTATCAGTGTAGAGATGCCAACAGATCCTAAACCTTGTATCTCTTGAGCAAGAAAACTGTGAGCATTAACTGCATGAAACCATCACTCTTGGGGTGACTTTTCAAACCCAGTCACATATACTGAAGATAAATATCTAAAGTTGTTCCAAAGACAAAAAAAATGGGTGAAGCTTAACTAAGGAGAATGTAATGAAAATAATAACAGCACACAGGTATCTGGGAGAAACTACTAAAAGCTGGACTGGTTTTAAAAAGGGCACTTTCAACATGCCAGGCACCATGCTAGCCTCACACCAACTTTATGAAATGGTAATATAATTATCCCCATTTCCAATGAAACAACGAAGGCAGGGAGAGAGAATTTTCCCACTGTTACAAAGCTAGTAAGTGGCAAAGCCAGGAATCCACCCCAGCTGCCCAGCTCCAAAAGTCGAAGCGCTTTACTGTGACACAGCACTGCTTAATCTGAACAAGCAACCACCACCATGCCAAGTCAGTTTCCAAAATCCTGATAAAGATGAAGCTCAATTAACAGTGGGAAACTGGAGAAAGTGCCATGCTGTATACTGATATAAATTTGTTGGGGTAAAAAGTGGCAGCCAAGTTGAAGGAGGTAACCTTTATCATGGGTGATCACCTTTACCAAGTGACACTCTCAAGTAACATTTCCATGAGTACACAAAAGCATACTTGGATGACGGGTTAAGAGGCCATTAAGAGTGGGAAGACCAAACTATGGTCTTTTCTTACTAATCAATGACAATAAAATAAAAACATTATAAAGGTGTTTAGAAGCTAGTTCCCAGGAATACGAAGTGCTTCAGATTCAGTTCATTCATTTTCATGGGATTTAAATCCCAGTGTTTGTGGTTAAACATTTTTTCTTCACTGGGAAAGTCTTTTGATGACTATTTTCCTGAAATAAAAATAGTACCTCATGAATCAGACCTCTTTTAGTGCACAATTTAACACAAATAAATTGACCTTTAAGGGAGCTGATAAATTACCAAAATTTCCACCAATATAAATATAGCCTCAGGCCACTGCATTCTTCCATTCACGCAATGCGCAGTGCCCACAGAGTTGTGTAGGACATAACCAGCATCTAGGTGTTCCTTTCCCAGAGGTTACACATGCCCTAACCTGACTGCAGGCCTCTTTCCACACTGCATGCTGTGCCTGACTCACCTTCACCTTTACCTACCCTTCTCTGCCTGGTACTCATGCCTTTCAAGCATCAGCTACTCTGAGAATCCTCTCCTGACACAGTTAATCATGCCCTCCCTTGTCATTGGCACAGACTCTCAAGAAGGTCATGCTTTGTTCAAAGACTGTCGATTGAAAGGCAGCAAATAAATAGTGAGGTTATGATGACCACAGTTAGATAATTCAAGGCATTTTCAAAGAATAGGACATGTTTTAAAATTATGGCAGAATGGCAGTTCAATCCAGCAAAAGATGGGTACAACCATATCTTAGAAGGTAGTGTAGGAGTAAGCCCCCCCATGCAGAGATAGCTATGCAAATACAAACAGGGTGTNACTTAAGAACCCCCATGCAGAGATAGCTATGCAAATACAAACAGGGTGTGAAGTAAATCAAAGTTAACATAGAAATACCAAGAAATATAATTCAGAATGAAATACATTAAGCAGAAAATACCTTATAGAGCAATAAAATGTTTTGTTCCCATTCTGAATTTGCAATTTTTAATCTTAATATTTTTATTCACTCAACAACTAATATTTAAGAAATATGTATGGACTGTAAAAATTGATTTGCTAGCAGACATAGTCATGCATTTACAATTTAAAAATGATTCATATCCTTTATAATTCATATTGTTCACTGTTTTCAATAGCTATGACTAAGTGTCTGTCTAAAACTTGCATAAATACCTTTGTCTGAATACAATTCTTTTAAAAATTACACTCACTGAATTATAGATAAGGGAAGATAAAAACACTAACGAAAAGCACCATAAAAGGCTGATTAACTACATTAAGTTGAACAATAGAGTTACCACAGACCCAAAACAAACACACAAAAAATCATTAATTCAGTATTTGAAATCATCTTAAAAGATTTATTTTTTTAAAAATCAAGTGTAATTAATCAGCTTAAAATCATTACTCAGCTTTTTAAAGGCACATATTTATAAAAGTTCAAAGAAAGGATCAAATGAATTAGCAAGATTTAATTCTTTAATAACGTATTTTTCATGCTCAAAGGAAACAAAGAAATTGAATTTTTATAAGTATGCATTTCTTTTCTATCCTGCAAAGTCTCAGAATCCCCAAAAGTACTTTACTTCATTTTTATCACCTTTTGACAACCCATGAAAAAGCATCAGTGAAACATGATAGATAGATAGATAGATAGATAGATAGATAGATAGATAGATAGATAGATAGATAGATATAGATAGATGATGATAGATAGATAGATAGATAGATAGATAGATAGATAGATAGATAGACAGACAGACAGATATAGATATTTTTCAACCTCACCCAAGGATATTTTTGCCATTGCTTTGTAGAGATAGTGGAAGGGAAGGAGGAGAGAGGAGGAAGAGAGGGGGGGAGAGAAACATCAGTGTGAGAGAGACATGGATTGGTTGCCTCCTGCACATGCCCCGACCAGGGCTGGGGACTGAGCCTGCGACCGAGGTATGTGCCCTTTACCAGAATCAAACGCAACACCTGTCAGTCCCTGGGCTGACGCTCTAACCACTGAGCCAAGCCGGCTAGGGCTGAAATACAATACTGACTTCTGAATGCTACATTAAACATCAACACTAAATTTTATAATTCTTAGATGAGTGTAGTTCTATCGAGTCACAGTGGATTGCCGATAAGTATTTTTATTCTCATTCCTATTGATGAGGCTATACTAGACCAGAGGTTTTCAGTCATTAGCAATTAATTAGAATGACAATTCAGTAAAGAGGGGCATCAGCTCTTCTCCTGATCCCCACATCTAAACCAAACCAGGACTCCTGTGATTTACGTATGTTCTGTCTTCACATCCATGTAAGATTAGGCACCGTCTAGCCTAACAGAGAGCAAAACTACATGAGAGATCAGTGGTCACATATACATCTCCCCAGGTATCAGTGAATTAGCTGCATGTATAGTGAGTGATCCAGCTCGTTAAACAAAATCATAAATTCAACTCTCATTTGGATTTGCCCCAAGTTGTGGTCCCCAACATATTCTGGCCTGGTTCTAGGCTTCAATCTAGAGGTATGTGAAGTATAATCACCCCCTCTTGTAAACCACCTTAATTACACAAGAACAAGAAAAGAGAGACCAGATATCTGAGGCAGTGTAACGTTTTCCCCAAACTCAATAAAAAGGAATGCTTAGATAAGAAAATCCCATTTACAAAAGCAACAAAGATGATAAAATATTTAAGCACAAACTCAAGATATGTTCAAAATCTGTATGAAGAAAACTATTAAACAATTCCGAAAGACACAAATGGAAAGACAGCCCTTGTTCTTAAGATGTTTCAACACCATCAAAATAGCAGCAGCCCCTCATATATGAAGCTGATACACTCCCAATTAAAATACCAACAAGATTTTTATATAGTTAAATGAGTTAGTATTTGTGGGGAAATAAATATACAAGATCTAGGAACACACTGAGAAGGACAGGCTATGAAGAGGAAGTGGCCCTACCAGATAATAAAACAGAACACAAAGCCTTTGTGAGTAAAATAGTGTAGTATTAGTGCACAAATGAAGAGACCAATGGGACAAAACAGAAATTACAAATGCAACTTTAGTATATAATAAAGTCAGAATTTCAAATCTTCGGGTTAAAGACAGACTTTTAAATAAATGATGTTGGGATGACAAGACTGCCATTTGGAAAAAGGTCAAATGAGATCCATTCCTCACCCAATATAACACATTAAATTACAAACTGAGCAAAGGACTAAATGTAATAATAAAACAATACGTAGGTGAGTGCAGTTAGGAAAAGGCTTTCTAATTATGACTTTCTTAAAAAAAGGTTGATAAACTTGATTAAGCAAAAATTTTTAAAAGCCAGATTGAATGGCAAAAAATATCACGAAGTTAAACTGGGAGAAAATATTTACAACAGAAATCACAGATAAAGGACTAATATCCTTAATATACAAAGAACTTGCAATAAATGTCAGGGAAGGGGTAAGTAAAGATCAAAATACCTTCATGGTGATGGTTGCATCACTCTGCAAATGTGCTTTAAAAAATTACTGAATTAGCCCGGCCGGGCGTGGCTCAGCGGTTGAGTGTCGACCTGGGATCCAGGCAATCAGGCTTCGATTCCCGGTCAGGGCACATGCCGGGGTTGAGGGCTTGATCAATGACTCTCTCATCATTGATGTTTCTCTCTCTCTCCTTTCCTCTCTCTGAAGTCAATAAAGATATATTAAGAAAAAAAAAAAAATTACTGAATTATATGCTTGAAATGGGTAAACTTTGTGGTATATAAAATAGTTGGCAGGGTCCTGGCTGGTTTGGCTCAGTGGTTGGAGGCAATGGTGTGGTTACATGAGAGAGAGAGAGGGGGG